GAATTAGCAAACATTTAGAGAATGATTTTCCAGCCCTGACTGGTTTGGCTCAGTGGATAGAGCGTCAGCCTGCGGACTGAAAGGTCCCAGGTTCGATTCCAGTCAGGGGCGTGTGCCATGGTTGTGGGCACATCCCCAACGGGGAGTGTTCAGGGGCAGCTGATCGATGTTTCTCTCTCATCGATGTTTCTGAGTCTCTATCCCTCTCCCTTCCTCTCTGTAAAAAATCAGTAAAATATATTTAAAAAAAAAAGATTTTCCAATCTACCTCCAAGTCAAACTTAAAGTTCTTTTTCTCCCATCTGTAATCAAAACCTGATCATGTGCTTACTAATGCTATTAAATCTGATGCTTCTCTCCCTATAATCATTATTTTAAAAATATATATTTTTATTAATTTCAGAGAGGGAGAGGAAGAGATAGAAACATCAATGATGAGAGAGAATCATTGCCTGGCTGCCTCCTGCATTCCCCCTACTGGGGATCAAGCCAGCAACCTGGGCAAGCAACGTGCACCAGAATTGAACCTGGGACCTTTCAGTCTGCAGGCTGACGCTCTATCCACTGAGCCAAACCAGCTAGGGCAAATCATTGTTACATTTCACTTAGGTACCTCATAAGAAATGTGCCTTCCCCATGAAATGAATTTACATAAGAATCTCTCTTGAGTTAAGACAAGAGTCAAGAGTCTTGACAATGAAGTCATTAATAAACACATCCAAGAGAACTTACATTAGAGACAATAAATGTCTTATCTAAACAGCAGGTTGGAAGAGTCCTTTATGGGTAACACACATATTTACAGATTAGAAATAGGTCTAACTGCTTCCAAACAATGGGGATGTAAACAACGTAAGACTGGCCATACAAAAGAGAACTTAAACTAGGTGATAGGTTCTCATTATACTATTTTCCCTATTATTTGCGTATTTAAAAATTCTTTTGAAATAAAAAAATGTTCCAATAGAATTCGCCCCCCCCCCCAATGCCAGATATGGGAATCTAATTTGGCTGGCCATACCAATTTCTGCCAAAGCAATGCTCTTTGATTTCCAATTCTCTATTTCCAGAATACCTAATTTACATAGCTGCTGTGAGAATTAAATGAGAGATTATATATAAAATCATCTCCAATACAGTGGCACATGAAATTAAAAATTGGTAGAAGCTCTTTGATGAGATAATGACCAAGTATCAATAGAATGTCATGTTGACTAAAAATGCATCAACATACCATCAGATATTATACACAATAGCAATGGAAATATTTTCCAATTGTCTACCTACCTTACAAAACAGCAAATTAAACGATTTAAGGAAAACATGCTCTGAATATTCCCACGATACTTACTAAATTTCAGATTCCCATTATAAAAAAAATTATAATTTAGCTTTGCCTTCTATTGGTTCTAATTCGCCGCAGGCTTTTAAACAGAAAATAACTAAATTTAATTATAGGCAGTCACCTTAACATTGTGAAAAATTACGTGCCTTTATTTGCATTCACTATTGAAACTTGTTTTGCAAAACAAAGATATTTGCATAAAGCGCCATTTTAATCTTTCGAAAAATTTTTAACTGGTTTTCTATCATCAAAATTGTATTGATAACAGCAGCTCCCATTTAGTGGGCCTTCTATTGTACCAAGCACTACTCCGTGACTTTTGCTTACAGCAACTCTATGAGCTCCTATTGATTGCCTCTAGTTTACACTAAAAATAAAGTCTCTGGGCTGTCCTGAATTGTCACAGAGGTGTACAGGTGTTTTTTCCCCCCCCCCCCCTACTTCTTAAGTGAACGGCAACTGATTCCACACTCTGACCTGCACGAAACAAGACAAAAACCACAAACGTGAACGACGACGTTCAGGGCCTAAAAGGTCCGAGTCTATGGGGGGTAACCAGCTGCCCCCCGACAGCCGAGCAGGTCTAATGGTCTCCGCCCAGGGAGCGTGTCCAGGGGCCTAGCCGTCTGGAGTTCTGCAAAGACGCGGGTCACCACCTTCCTCAGATCAGACAAGCATCTCCAGACAGCCTATCTTGATGGGCCACCTCCTCCCTCCGAGGCCCGTCTTCGGAAGTCCAAGGGTAGGCGGGGCTCCCCGAATTCACACCTGCGGTAGGCCCCGGTTCCTCCACAGAGAACACCTGAATCACCGGTGTACAACTCCGGGTCGCCGGAGCCAGCGGGGCCCGCCAGGC